TTGCCATAACCAGCTGAGTTCTTATGATATATTTCTGCGGCCCGCAGCATAAAGGAAAACTATAAAGACAGAGAAATGAAATTTTTTAAAAGAAAAAAGGTTTAGTGTGTATGGGCGCGCGTGCATGTGCGCGCGTATGCTCGTGTGTGTGTGTGTGTGTGTGTGTGTGTGTGTGTGTGTGTGTGTGTGTGTATGCTCGTGCATGTGTGTGTGGTCACTGAAGCCAGAAGTCACATGGGATCTCCTGGAGCTGTAGTTTCAGGTGCTTTTGAGCAGCTTTGACATGGGTGCTGGATCCAAACTCTGGTCCTCATGGTAGAGCCTCAGGCTCTCTTAACCACTGAGCCATCCCTCCAGGCCCTGAAACAAAGCATTGCTGCATGACAAAATGCCTAACTTAACACAAATCTAGTTGCCAAGAGCAAAGTGGAAAAAGCAGTTAGATTAAATCTTACAAAGGGTTAGTAATGAGAACATTTAGAAAGGAGTAGGAAGCCCTTGAGGGGAAAAGGACAAAGGCCACAAATTGTCAACAAGAGATAAAATGCAATTGTCAGTGTTCTGTCTCAAAACTCAACTGGGAATGAGTAAGGATAAAGTATAATGATGTGTGTGTGAAGATGCCACAATGAAGCCCATTGCTTTGTATGCTAACGTACGAAAGTTTAAAAGGACCCATGTAAAGCCTATGAAATTAGCATAACTAAACAATAGTAACGCATATTAGAGTGAGTGAGGAAGTGATTCTGACCCTTCCGGAGAGCATTTGCTTGTGCAGTGTTCCCAGAGGTCTGTGTGGCACTATGTAAAAAGGCTTTCAGAACGTGTTTATGCTTTGACGTCATGAATCTACATTTTCAAATCTAAGCAATTGAAAATGTTGGCAAGAATTTAGCCTGGGGATATTTACAAGGCACTAACCGCAGTATCCAGTATTCTGAGGGTGCTGGGCAAGATGGTAATTTTGAAGAACTTCATTCATTGGCATCTAAAATGAATAGGGCATTTAAGGCTTAAATGGAAATTCTAAACATGTTCGTCCTATGCCCATTCTTTAAAATGTATTTACATTTTAAAAGGGGCTGGAGAGATGGATGGCTCAGCAGTTAAGATCCTGTACAGCTCTTGCCAAGGACCCAAGTTCAGTTCCTCACACCACCTTTGTCAGTCTGCTCACAAAGACCAGGAACTCCTGCTCCAGAGGATGCATTTTCTGGTCACAATGTGCACGGCACTCATGTGTACACAGCCCTCTACATAATTAAATATAAGAAATCTTTGAACAATGTGTATGTTTTCACAACTTGAGTGTGCATTCATGAAAATGTTTCCAGGATATATTCAGATCAATGATGGAGTCATGGAACATTTTTAATATTGGTTTCCTTTGGCCACATTTTCCAGAATGAGTGCCTGTTGTGGCACTAATATGAGACTTGGTATTCATGGAATAAAGAATACAGACAGACAATCACATGTTTTTCCCTTGGTTCTATAAAATTAGAATCTTTTATCCCAGTGAGGCACACAAGGCTCCAGACATTCTAAACCTATCTCCATGCAGCTGGGCCATGCTTTATCATCCCGGCACCTCACCTCTCCAGCTTAACCCTAGGAAACTAGGGCTAAGACTTTGGTGATATTTCTGCTCCACCTTCATGTGGTGGGAAATTGTTTCTTTTCTTTTTCACCTTGGGTTTTTTTTTCAATACAAACACATTCTTAGGGTCACGATTAATGTGTTCTAATGGGCTACACATTTTAAAAATCAATGAAAGAATTTACATTAAAAATAGAACACAATTAGATTGATTTGGGTGACCTATTTTTAATCAGCCCCATTATTTATGGATCTGAAAATTCTCAGGACATCTTTCTCTGGAGCATGCAAAGATCAACCCTTCCAGTATTATGTGTGAATAGTTTTAAAGTAGCGGTCACAGGGTTAAATGATAAACTGCTAAACATGCCCCCCTTCCTTTTTGATTTTCTAAGATCAGGTTTCACTCTGTAGTTCATATGTCTTTTTTTTTTTTTTCTTTAACCCCTCAAAAACCTGTCTACTGTAGGAATGTTCTAGGTTTGTCTTCTTGCCTCTTTAGTAACCTATTGCAGTTCTTTTCTCCTTCCATGGTTCACTGGGGTCTTCTAGTTTTGTTCCTGTTGGTGTGATAAGCCATTCTGACCAAAAGCAACTTGGGAGGAAAGGGCTCTTTTCTGCTTCAC